AATTGGATTAATTAGACACACATTCACAAGCTATTCATCTCTTTCTTCTAGAAGACTCATCTCAGGCGTCAAACCAAACCCAGGCTCTGGAGAAAGGTGTAATTCTGCAGCTGGGAACTCTACTGACAGTTTATCATGAGCTGGTACAGACAGCACTCCCTGCAGGGAGCTGCGTGGACACGCTGCTGAGAAGCCTCAGCAAGACATACACAATTCTCACCTCCCTCATCAAACATGTGAGTGCTGCTCTGCTGACAGTGGGCTGGCTAGGATCTGAAAACTTTTTCCCCATCTGCTACAACAAGCTCACAGTGACCCCTGGCAGCAGCTACGCTCAGGACTGGGCTGTTGATGTCTTCCAGGAGTCGAGTCCTTATTCTGTTGGCTTTCACACCCTCAATTTCATGACCTTTCAAGCAGTGATAGTTGTACCAGCAGAGACAAAGGAAAGTTTCTCTCCAGCTGAATTTGGCTGTGCATGGCTTGGAGTGGCTCTTTCCAGTGTATCTTGTAGGTTCCTCTGCACACAGCTGTGTACCACGATGAGTGGCACTAGCGGTGTTCTCGCACCGCTCGGCAGTCCCGCCTTTGCCACTCATTCGCGTCTAAGGCTTGAAGCACCGGACCTGGGGGAACCGGGCCCCAAAAACAGGGCAGTGGAGCTAGTTTGAGACAAGGTGGTGAATACCCCAGAGGTCTCTCACAGCTCTGGAATGCAGACGTGGCATTTGGGATATACAGCAAGCCACTGGGGAGGATCGTTCTTGCAAATCCTGCCCTCCCTACTGTGCCATTGGATGAGCTGCTTTGCGCCCTGCCTGGAAGTACAGGTTGCAGGATGGGAACAGCGTGCCTAGAAGAAACTCTCTCGTGTTTTCCTTGCAGTATATCCAAGCTTGCCGCAGCTCCTCAAATACAATTCCAGGAAGGCTAGAAAAGCTGGTGAGTGTGAGCGAATTACTGGAGGAAATGGCTCATTGCCTTGAGTCAGGAGTGACACCAACCTCTCCGCTTCTTTGCAGGTGAAGCTCTCGGGTTCCCATTTGACCCCACAGTGTTACTCATTCATTACTTATGTACAGGTAAGGCCTAAATTAACTGGCAGAATCACAATCAATCTGATGCTGTGGTGTATCAGCTGCGATACATGGGCACCTTTGGGGATTATTAATCTTGACATGACTGGAGTTTCTTATAGTTCAAGCTTTACTATGTAAAATAATGTCAAATTTCATCACCATTGGGACTGAGCATGCCAACTTCTGCTTGAGCAGGGAAGGAAGAGTCTTTGGGTAGCAGGTTTTTAGTTGTTTGGGGGTTTTTTTCCCCTCTGTTCACGTGGGTTTTTTTAAATGAGATTAATACTGCTGTTAGCCACAATGGCAAATACAGGTCAATGACACTGCCCTCATCACAGAGTAAAGTAATGTGGGTGCCAAAGACTGCAGTGCCGAAGATGGGATTTAACTGCTTGGAGAGGAGTTGGATGCGTGAGTGAGGACCACAGGATTTGTACCACAGACATGGCGTAGTGGTGTGCAGAGCTACCGCTACTGGGGACTTCTCACACATATGTATTTCTGAATGTACAAATTATGAAATTAGCTTTTCTTTCCTTCTTTTTTTGAGATTACCCCCCGTTCCGTCCTTCTTGTATCACTACCTTTCTGTCATCTAGCTGGTAATGCTGTTAGCTGGCCAGAGCAAAGACTTCTCAGGCCTTACTTGGCTGGCCTTTCTTCCCTGCCTACCCTTTCCTCCCTGTTTACCCTCTAATGCCACATCTTTTGGGGTCCTCCTTCAGAACATCCACAGTGAGAGCTTAAGCTTTGCAGAGGAGAAGAAAAAGAAGAAGAAAGAGGGTGAAGGTGCTGCAATCTCCACAGTCATGGTAAGATTGACTCACTCTCTATTAGAACATGGGCTGTATTTGAACTTGGGATCGTATAACCTCAAGGCTTGTGTTACCTGGTGGCTTCTTGTAGATTGTCAACGATAAATTGTCATTTGGGCCTTTAAGTAAAAATAAAATTTAATCTACCTTAACTTCAGAGAAAAGTCTAAAAAAACCCAAACAAACAAATAAAAAAAAAACCAACCCCAGCAAAAAGCCACCTTCACTAAATGCAGCCTAAAAGCTCACAGATGTGAACCAAAGTTCAAGCCTGGATAGTCTTGTCTTGTCTGATATTTTATCATTTGGAGTAAGCTATGAAATTACAGAAATGGGCTAATTTATCGAAACTAATACTCCACGCTGTGTAAGTGTTTCTTATCAGTACATCTAAAGATAAATAGTGGATTCCACTGAAGTAAGGCTGTTGATGATGACTGGACAATTTGGTTTGGGAGCAAATGAACAGGCTGGCAGGCTCCTGGTCTTTTATGTCCTTTGTGCTCCCAGCCAGCATCTCCTCTGTCTCGTCAGTTGTCCTAGACATTCCTTGATGTTAAGCGTTTAAAAGCCACAAGCATAGTATTCCTAGCTGTTCCCTGAGTGTATGGAAACGGGCTGAAATGCTGCATGGCCTTTTACCACTCTGTCACCATGGGGAACAAACATCAGTGGTGGTAAATAAATGGGGCAAAAATGTGGTGAAACAGCAATGTGCTCATTGCCTGGAAGGCGTACGCTTGTGATGCCTTCGCAGAGCTGGAGCAGCGGAGCTTTTGCTGTGATGGCCGTCGGGCATGTCGGGGCTCTGACTGCAGGCAGAGTACAAAATAGTACATGGGAGAGCCTCACTGCAGAACTGTCAGGGGGGTCAAAACCAGTAACAAAGCTGGCAAGGCTTGCTGGGGCAGGACTGGCATAGAGCAAGGCTACTGAAGACACTTTACTAAATTGGAAGTGTTGAGGTCTTCACGTCATGCCACAGCATCATTGTTCACTTCCAAATCTCACCGATCACGCTCCTTTCTGCGTTCCAGGCCAAGGTGCTTCGGGAGACCAAGCCAATCCCCAACCTGGTATTTGCAATAGAGCAATATGAGAAGTTCCTTATCCATCTCTCCAAGAAATCAAAGGTAATGTAAAGCAGAGCTCTTCTGTGACCTGAACTCAGCGGAACAGTGGGATCAATGGCATGGTGGAGGGCTGCTGCTGATCCACCTTTTAAAGGCTCTATTAATGCTCAGATTAGGAAGGTGTAAGGACCTTGCCCCTCTTTCAGCCTTTGCACAAGATCCTGGCCCAACACTCCTGAACTGCTGTCACACCGATACCCGCAGGTGTCAAGGGCGGTAATGCCTCTGACCCAGCACCGCGTGGGGTTTCTGGCTGAGCAGAAACCTGCACACTTAATGCCAGCTTTCCCCACCCATCTCCCCCAGTCTGGTTCAGGAGGAGAGAAATGTACCACGATGAGGTATCATGTGAGAGTAACTGGTAATCACTTGGCTTTTGGGAAAACATAAATGGGCCACTGGATTGCATGGGGGCAGGTGCTTTTTCACCTACCTTTTGCTTCAGTCCTGCATTATTACTGTAATGGACTGGGTCCCAGTGCTGTGCAAAGGACTGCGCAGGGTAGAAAACTAAACTAAGATGCTAATGGCATAATGTCCTCTCCCCCTGGCTTCCCCTTGGTTGCCGCAGGTGAACTTGATGCAATACATGAAGCTAAGCACCTCCCGGGACTTCCGCATCAACGCGTCCATGCTAGACAGCGCCTTGCAGGAACACAGCACGGAGGATGCTGAAAATGAGCCAGACAACGACCAGGTCAGAACTCATTCAGCTGCTTTTACTGATAGGTTTCCCCCTCTTTTGAGGCTAGCTGTATTTGTGAGCTGTGCAGGTATAAGTGAAATTAGGACAGTGTGTCTTCCCTGGGTTAGCTCTCACTCTGATACTAAGCTGATACGAAGGAGTGAAGAGTTAGTCTGGGTAACATCCCCTACACTCCGGCCCTCTGCCCTGAGGGACCTTTATTTCCACGCACCAGCCATCTGTATCTCTGGTCTTAGGGACATGAGACTGCGCTTGAGGCCTTGTTGTTTGCCTCAGCAAGCAGAGAGGGCTGTCACCGTTACCTCTGAGGACCTGCTGGCAGGCCAGGATCAGACCTTTGCAGGATGGGGCAAAGTCGTTTTACATCCAGGTTAATTAACTTTTGTAGATAAAGAGCTGGCAGGGCGGACTCTGCAAGGCGCTGTTCTCCTCAGACCCATCTCCTCTACTACATAGTGCTGGTGAAGGTAGCGCAACCTAAGCTAGATAAAAAAACCAAACAATTTACTTTGCTGATTGTCCAGGTTTTTATTGATGCTTCTGTCTGTATCTTCCTGAGTGTTTCAACAAGCCAAAACCCAGTACAAACCATCCCTGTTCTGTGCCCTTGATAATCTTCTGGCATGAACTGGGGGGGAGGGGGAGTGTCCATGGGCAATGTCTCCATGGGTGAGAGAAGTCCCATGTTCAGGTCACTTTGTTAGGGAGGAAGAGTTCTGCACATCAGGTTTCTTCCTTTAGGTAAACATTCCTTAGACTAATCACACAGAAACAATCACACTCAGTACTGCTCCTCTCTCCCTCCCCTCTCCAGAGCAGCACCGCAGAGCAGGCAGATGAGAACCAGGAACCCAAAAAGAAGAGACGGCGAAAAAAATAAAGCTGGGGTTGCCGCTGCTGCCTCCTCCCACAGAGCCTGTTCTGCGGCAGACTCGCCTTGGTCTTGGAGAACTGCACATACAGAGATGACGGTTTGTTGTTTCTCTTGCCAAATACTTACGACTTCCTCTTCTGGGCCCGTGGGCGTGCAAGCAGCAATGTGGGCCACCATCTCAGGTTTTACAGCTGGCTGCTGCCCTCAGAAGCGCCTCTGCTATTTGAATGCGCTGCTGTCAAAGTCTTCTTCCCCAGGAACATCCCTTCTTCTTACAGCAAAAAGAAAACAGAGTGACCAGGATCAGTCCCTGCCAAAAGATCTCCTTCTGAAAGGACAGCCAAGCTCTGGCACGCTCTCTGGACAACTGTCATTCTTGGCACTCTAGCGTCGTCATTTCTTCTCCAGCGAACCTTTGGTTATTTCAATTAGCTGATAGATATCCAATGCTTCTCCTGGAAGGCAATGGGACAATCAGTCCCCTGCACTCTGCAGCACACTCAGACTGTGTAACATGAGAGTGACGCTCATGATTTGCTTTAGTTCAGAGCATGTAGCACGAAAAGCCCTAAATTTATTCCAACTTCTGTTTTGTGTGGTGGTGTGAACGCAGGAACCAGCACCAGCAGGAAGCTGGAAACACGAGCTGTTCTGCCTCGGCGTTGAAGCTTGCCGCTGGGTGCAGCTCCTGGGAAGCAGAGAGGCGACGGCTTCCTCGGGGCTGCTGCTTTGCTGTTCTGTTTTGTGCTGACCCCGCGGCGCTGCACTTGTTTAATTTGCCTTGTTCTTGGTGAGCACAAAAGTGCCCTTCTTTGCCCACAGCACACAAGTCCTGTTTCTAAAAGCACCTTTTGCCTGTCAGACTCCTAATAAAGTTTACCTCAGGGCGGAGCATCTGCTGTGTCCAACGACTGAGAGAACAAGTCTGAGGGCAGGGTCTTCTGCTTATCTGGGAAAACACTGCTGCACAGCGTGTAGAAGCTGTTTAAAGCAGCTCCCAGCCAAGAGCTAGATGTTTGCCTGCAGCAGTCAGAGGGTCACACAGGGACAACTGTAGGCCTGGGGACTGTTGGTGGAGAACACAGCACTGCCAAGGCAGTGCTCTGAACAGAGCTGTGCTGGGCTAAGGGGGGAGAAAGCACCAAAGGCTGGAAAAGTTTAGGTCTGGAGGGCAAAATACACAAGGTTCTTGAGGCGCCTCATTTCAGAGAAGGAACAATTCCCTCTTGGGCTGTGATAAAAGTGCACAGGAGGGCTCCTCTCCGAGGGGCACAAAGCCAGTGGGGGGGGGATAACGGAGCCAGGCCCAGCTCATCACTGTCAGAAATCTCTGGAAGCAGCAGCACAAACTACTCGGAGATCGAGAAAGGGAAGAGGGGTGCAGAGGGGCTGGCAGCAGGGTGACAGCAGGGAAGGGGCTCACGAGGGGCCTCTGCCCAACAGAGGAGCCTTCGGGGAGCAACGGCTTCGGCCGCGTGCTCGGCCTCGGGGGTTAGCGTGCACGGACCCTACTCACCTTGCGGGATGCCGTACTTCTTCTCCATCCCGGTTGGATTGGATGGCGTCTCGCAGTTCATGGTCACCTCTTTCCTTAAGCACTGGTCGACGTCCACAGCGCTGAAGAAAGCCACCGACTGTGGCAGGTCCTGGAGACCCAGTTTGTAGGCAAACATGCACCTGGAAGCACAAGAGACCAGGTGGGACGGTGCCAAACATCGCCCTCAGCCTTGTCACACCTGGCCCGGACCAGCCGTCGGTAACCGGTGATGTGACAGCCACGTCAGGCAGCGGCAGGAAGACAAGGTGCTGGGTAGCAGGAGGGCCACGTATGGCTAACATGGATGTGCGAGGAACAGAGCAATGGTGCATTGAGCCGCCTCGGAAGAAAGGAAGAACCCGGCCCTTCGCCGCTGGCTAATCCTCCCAGGCAGAGCGATGCGGGATTTTCACGGCAGGAAGCCCTGAGCTCGCAGGAGCCGGCACAAACACCAGGGCATCTGCCCCCGCTGCGCCCGCCGCCCCGGCACGGAAAGGCTGTTTGCTGGATCCCTGCCTCGGCGCAAGAGAAAACAGCTCGGCTTTGGGCGGCTCCCGTATAACCACGTACCCCGCGGGGTCTGGCAAAGCTGGCTGTGCCGGAGCTGGACTGAAGGGAGCCCTCTGAGCTCCGGAGCTTTCTTGGCTGAGCTTAACCTGGCACAGGGCTGGTGGTCGCAGCACAGTGTGCTGTGCCTCTTCCACGCAGCGGCCACAGACCTGCAGGGAAGGGGAGCCGACGCACTCGCAGCCTAGTGGAGAGGAACGACTGGCCCCATCGCTGCAGGAGCCAAAAGCTGATGACATCCCCCTCTTGCTAGCACATTATCCCTGGAAATTGAAGCCAAGCTCCGTTTATAGCCACCCGAGTCACGCATGAAGCAACTGCAACCCCCAGCGCTGCCAACTTCCCGTAAGCAGAAGAAAACTGCTCCGCACTGGCTCACTGTGGCCAGTCCCAACCCGGAGGCGCTGGCCCTCGTCCCCAGGCGACACCACGGCCGTACCATCTCACCGCGGGAGGAGGCTGGGGATCTGCAGGGCCAGGGCTGCCCGGTAGCGATCCTGCTGCTGGACCAGGTAGCGCACCTCATCATGGATGCTGATGCAGAAGCGCCCGTTGATGTCAAACTCCTCGAAGAGCCACTTCATGGCGACCAGCATGAGGTGCAGGTAGTCGACGGCTGAGCTCTGCACCACCCAGTTCACCCTGCTGGTCAGAAACTGGTGGAGGGAAACACAGACAGATGCTAAGAGAGCATCGAGGTCCAGGGCCTGGTCCCGACAGAGGACAGCTCCTGCCAGAAGCCTATTAAATTCAGCGTTGCTGGGTTTCCTTGATAGCATGCAGATCAAGAGGCAACAGGTTTGCTGCATGGCTCCAAGAGCCTACTGGGTCTCCAGCATCTGAGCAGGGCTGAACTTGGGGTTGCTGTGTGGGAGAAGACAAGCAAAGCGGAGAGCTCAGCAGCACAGAGCGGTAACCCTACCTCTCCCTTGGCCACGGCGGGCTCCAGGGCCCTGCTGATGTGACAGCCCAGCACCGGGGTCTGCGGGGACGGGGACAAGGCAATGCTCTCCAGCTTGTTGAACATTTCGGACTCGGTGCCTCCAGCCCACACTCGGTTCTCCACCACGTCCCACTTCTTCTTCCTCCGGGACCTGGTGGGGCAGCTGGGAGGTCTGTTGGAACTGTGGGACGAGGCTGCGGACCGCGTCCGAGAGCCTCCAACGCTCCCTCAGGGTTTGGGGCAGCCAGACAAGCCCCTGCGACCTCCTGCTGCTAACTGCTCACTGGGAGAGACTGGGAGCCCCCAGACCAAACGGGCTCAGCCCTGGGGGAGCACGGAGGAAGGATCAGGACTGTCCAGCTCCATCTCCCTTACCTGCCCGCAGCACTGCAGCTCCCCCCGGCTCACACCCCGATGCCACCAGAGCCGCACAGGGTCGGAGCATCTCACCTTTTTGTAGCTTCTCTCTGGAGCCGCTGGACATCCTGGGCCGACACCGATCCGTCCTCTGCTCTGTCCACAGCCAGCTCCAGCTCCCTCACCAGCCACTCCCCCTCCTCGGAGAGGTGAAACCTGGAGTGGAGAGCGACCCGTGCCGAGATCCCGTGCGGCACGGCCACG